AGACAAAGAGTTTCTGCTAGAACGACTCGGACGGGCCGCCTCCCCCAGACGCTTCGGATGTGTTGCCTAGCTTATTAGATAAACACAGGATGCGTGCGCCGTCCATGCGTTGCTCATCTTAGGTTCTTGTTCTTTGACGGAGGCCGGTCAGGCCTGCATTCTCATTGGAACAACCTGTTCAAGGGCATCGGCGTGACTAAGATGTGGAATTTAATCCACAGTGAGGCCTCGACAACTGCGAACAGGACGGCGATTGAGCGTGGGGCCAGGGCCTCAGCGTTTTAATGTGATTTCCTCGGAGGCGCGGGGGCTGATAATGAGGTCAACGTGATTAACTTGGCAGAAAAGGTCTTGGTGACCACCACGGATGCGCAAAAGCTGCAAGCTATCACGGGAAGCCGGAAGAACCTACATTTTGAGGGGACCGTGTGTTCAGATGCTGCGCCTTGGATAAACCAAACAGTGCGCGGTTGTTTGGCGCGCTCAGCTTGCGCCCCTTGTTTGCGTGCGAGTTTCTGAGGTCTACGGGGTCCCCCGGCATGATTTGGCAGGGCTGACAAGGCTGGCACCTGTGTTCAAGCACGAGTTGCTTGGAAGCTTCCGCGTGGCTGGTGCACCGAACAACCAACAGCGAACAGATGGAAGTGCAAAGGACAACGTGGCAGGAGAACCGATCACTTGGAATCCAAGGCATTCGCACATGATCGAGGAATTGTTGCACCGGTATCGGCCACGGGCTGTCACACTCATGACAGCAGCAGAGCCTGCGACAGCCAGCGTGATTTTGACAAAAAGAATTCCAGTGACAGCAATTTGCTCCTTGGCTGCATCGCAGTTTGATGTCCTTTTGCTCGAGTTTGGTTCTGGTGCCCAAGAAGAGCACGCCAGGCTTCTCACAAAAGCACGCCAAGTGGTTCAAGGCCCAGGTCTGCGCACAGCTCCTCGCGGCGATGACTGACCCTGCCAACGACAAGATTTTCAACGCAAAGCTGGGAAAACTTTTGCACCTTCCGCATGCGCAGAGCAGCAGCACCCCTGAGCCTTCCACGTCCACGGTGACAGGCAAGAAGCGAAAGTCGCGGGGAGGTGCCAATGCAAAGCCGAAGCCAAAGAAGGCTGCAAAGATGAAGGCGGCTCCGAAGAAGAAGTCGGAGAAGGATCTGATTGCAGAAGACGAAGAAGACGAAGAAATTGAAGATGAAGAGGACGTCGAGGAGGAGAATCTGAGTGAAGACTCTGTGGGTAGTGATGACTAAACAAACTGTGGTGCCACAGTTTGTGCATTCTTTTGTTTAGCCAGCGCATGACAATAATGATGATAGCGGGACATGTCTGTTGGCAGCGAAGCAATCACAGACCCAGGGCAGATTGCAGTTCGGAGCGCTGGGAGGAAAATGGGATAAACACGCTGCTGCAATTGTGAGTGTCCTGTCTTTTGAACTGACAGCGCACGGAGAACCATTTGCAGTCCACGACCTGTGCTCTTGAGAGCCCAATCATGAGCCCCTCAAGCCAGTAAGTAGCATTGCCATTCATGAGCGGCGGCATCGAAGAAGGCAACTTTTTCCCGAGCCTGAGGAAGAACGACAATTGCGATGAGCCTGACTCTGGCAACCAGGAGGCTGAGCCTTCCATCGAGCAGCTCTTCGGCGAGGCGGGGGGATGGGATGATTCTGATGAGCCGGAGGACGAGAACGAAGATATGAATGAAGAAGAAGAAGCAGAAGAAGAAGAAGACAAAGACGCAGGAGAAGATCCTCCATGTCCAGTAGCGAAGGCCAAAGCCAAGGCCAAAGCCAAGGCCAAGGCCAAAGCCAAGGCCAAAGCCAAGGCCAAGAAAGAGCCCAAAGCCAAGGCCAAGGTCAAAGCCAAGGCCAAAGCCAAAGGCAAGGCCAAAGCCAAGGGCGCGTCAAAGAAAACCACAAATTATGAAAATACCCGAAAAGCTTTCTTTGACAACGCTGCCGAGAACGGCCTGGATAGTAATGCTGCCCGGAACGCCTGGCTTCAGAGCACAGAGAGGAAGAATGCGATAGCTTCAATGCCAAGTCCTGAGAGAAGGCAACGCAAATTTGTGAATCCTCCTCCCGCTGATGATGTAAACTAGACCTTGTGGCAATGTCTGCTGCGGGCGCGCAGCAGACCATGGCACCGCGTGATGGGCAAAGAAACAAAAGAGCAAGCATTGCGTGTTGGACCTTGCAAGTTGCGACTGTCCTTGAAAGTTGCGATGTTGTTGATTGATGTTATTGCCCTGCAGCTGTTTTCGCTTCACATCTAGCAACTGCGCGTCAGTCCCACTTCCCACAGACATTACTGTGCTACCACAGTAATTATGTCGTCATGGTTGGACGGCATGGGCCGTCAGGAGGCACGGTTTCAGCCAGGCGACCACGCTTGCTTGGTGACGTGGAAGTCCAGCTTCTTCCCGCTCTATCAGCTTCATTCGGAGATACTGGAAAAGTTGGAGCAAGCCATCGTGTTTCGCAAAGGGAGCCCCATCTGCATGGAGGAGTTCAGGGATCTGCGAGTGTTCATTCATGTGAACAGCGACAGAGGAAACTGCAGACTGGTGCAATCACGAAACTCGCACTTCCTCAGTGCAGCAGTGGATCGAGCATCGGCCTTGGGTTCAGCTGGTGCAAGGGCCCACGAAGAACCTGATATGTGCCATCAACGAGTACAAGTGGAAGCATTATCAGTTGCGGTGTGTGGTGTATGACATTCAACGTGCCCCTTTCCCATGCTTCCTGGGAGCAGCGCTTCTTGATTTGGGGCTGGCAGGACGAGCTCGATCGCGTGCCTGACCTGGTTGAGTGGTCCCAGGACTATTCCTCGATACTTTGCCTGCCAATCAGTGACCCCGTGCCAAAACCACGGGTGATGCTGAAGGCCCTTCACAGACGAGACGTTGACATGATTCGCAGGTTCATGCCACTTTCTCTCTTTCCTGGCAACGCCATCTGGCATCCTGATGACATCGAGCAGATCACTGCAGTAAAGCATGAATCTGATGCAGAAGGAGAGGACGCTGACATGCAGGTTGAGGATCCGGAGTTTCTTGGTCGACACCGCCGACCAGGTCCTACGCATGGTGTAATGTATGTATGTAATGTAAAGTCGGTTTTGGCGTGCGCAGATGAGTGGCTTCTGCCGTGCATCAGGGTGCCGGTCAAGGTGACGGCGGGGTGCTGCTCAGGAAGTGCTGCTGAGTTGGCTGGTGGCGCTCGTGAGGTATAGACAGATAGAAGATAGATGGGTAGGTATATAGAGAGATGGAGAGATAGACAAATAGAGAGATAGACAGATACACGAGAGATAGATGGAGAGAGAGAGAGAGAGAGAGAGAGAGAGAGAGAGAGAGAGAGAGAGAGAGAGAGAGAGAGAGAGAGAGAGAGATGGAGAGAGAGAGAGAGAGAGAGAGATAGAGAGAGAGAGAGAGTGAGATGTCAAAGTACATGCGGTGTTGTACTACATGGCTTGTACATGACTGCCATCACCCAGATTTTGCACTCCTGGCTGTTACCAGCTCCACGCAGTTGTGGCCGGGATGATGCCATCAAAAGCCTTTCAATTCCAACCTTGTGCACTAATTAAAGTCTGAGCACCAGTAAAAAAGGGCAGAGTTGTTTCGATACCGTTTTGGGCTTGTTCTCCCTTGGCTTGAAGGCGTGAACTGGATTCTTGTTGCTTCTTGAAAGTTTTATGGTACTCCCGTTTTGGGCTCACACCCGGGGTGGCAGCATAACAGGCTCCGCCTGGGATGCAGGAAGCTTGAGTTGAACATGCATGTTGACTCATGCATCCCTGAGCTTGCACCGCTGAACAACGCATCGAAAAAGAAGCTGCGCGTTTGTCCGTCACAGGCTTCTTTATTTGATATGTCCTTGATAGGCTTGAAGCAGTGAACAGGTTTCTAACCCAGTGTCAACGCGTGGCAGCCTCATCTGCTGCCTCAGCTCTAGCCTTTGATGCTGGCGATCGCAGTTTCGACATCTGGGGGCGACATGGCCGAGAAATAGGAGGCGACAGAGTATTTCGCCGCAGCAGATATCATTGGCAATTGTTGTTTTCAACGCTTCCCTTTGTTGGGTGAGCATAGAGTTCCAGCAAGGTGGCTTCTTGAAGCACATTGTCCGTGCGTTGCCTTGTAGTCATGTTTCTGACCTTTGTGTGAGACTTGCGTTCGATGCCATTTCCTCTTTGAGGAGAGGAATCAATTTGAGCGACATCAAGGTGGATTTTCCACAATTTGGCACAAAAAGACGTGGTGAACTTCATGAGTCTCACACTTGATGGAAAGCAGGTGGGTCAGAAGATTTTAAAGGTATATACTGCTTCAGAGCGAAGGCATCACGGCAGTCATCAATTGTACCGCCTGTGAACCACGAAAAGAAAGCAAAGTTCTTTCGCGATAAGAACGCGCGTGCAATCATATGGCATCCTACAGAGATGCTTTACAGGTTTGCTGAAAGCTTGCACGCCACAATCGCCAAACAGAAGATACCCGAACAACCTTGCGCGAGGCAGTTGTTGACGTCGACTTGTCGCAGACTAGTTTGCTTCTTTGCACGCAGCGGTTGAGTTCCTGCGTTTTACCATCTCAGAACTGGAGTGCTGGCTCCCAGGGTTTAGGTTCAGGGTTAGTTCAGTTTCAGGATCAGTTTCAAAAAGATTTGCACAGCCGATGTCGGCGCTTCAGTGAGGTTTCCCGACGTTCAACCCTCATTCGGACGTTTTGCGAGGCTTCCGGGTGAAGTGCTATTTTCAATTGTTTTTGCATGGGCATCCAGACTTGGCCATTGGGGGTTGCCTGCGGGGCTGATGTGAAAGCAAATAAGCAAGTCAAGTTCTTCAGCTGAGGTGTTTTTTCAATCCAGTGACATGGATTTGGTTTCTAGATTCCCATTGCTCGCATCAGCAAAAGGGAAGGCTTTTCATGTGGCAATTGAAGCCTTGCCACTTGACACAAACTGCCCGTCGCGGCATTTTCGGCTCGCAGCCTGTGCTCTTTGAGGCAACCGTTGCAGGTCGTGTTCCAGTGGACTGAAGTCCTGCCTTCCGAGGCGCAGGGGCACTCAGAGGCAGGTGAATTCACCCATCTTAGAACCTATTTTAGTGGTTGGATTTTGACCCATGGCCAAACAAGAACATGGCCAAGTTCAGTGGAGATTCTTGGTGGCTCCCCGAAGGCCAGCATTTTAGCTTGAGAGTTAAACTTTTAGCCGGGGGACCTGAGGGCAGCCCAGAACTGTTTTTGCCGTTCTTTGGTGGCTCCCTTGGCAAAGACGTGAGAAAGTTCTGGGCAGATCCTTTCCTCAGACAGAGGTTCCCTAAGGAAGGACTATTAACATGAGAGACTTTTTTGGTTGGAGGGTTTCAAGGGAAACCCTGCTCGACTCTACGCACAAGTTGTCAACAGTTGCCGTCGTCTTTTGCAGGCCGGGGACATATATTGGGTATTCACTTAATTATATACCTTTAGCGACATGGGAAGTTGCTCGCCAAAATCTATCGCTGTTCGGCGGGTGTAAATTCTTTGGGTTGGTGCTTGTGTGCAAGGCAAGCTCGACCTTGGATTCTACGATTATTGTTACGCCATCATCCTGTTGTCTATCACAGGGTCAGCATTGAGGAGTTGTGCCGAGATAGATTTTTCTGCCGACAACGTCGAAGGAAAGGTTGTCAGCAATGTGAGGCGTTGGGAATGTAGGCAGGTAGAAGCAGGCTGCCAAAGCTATTCTCGTATCTTTTTGCTCGCGAAGGCATGTTCTCGGCATACTGCCGGTCCCTTTTTTCCCCTCTCAGTTTTCAGTTCTATTTCTCCGAAATCCAAGCCGGGCTCATGTTGCGCGGGCAAATGGCAAAGCTGGAGGCCAATCAATCAGATTACTCTGTGCAGAACGTGAGAGAGGACGGAGCCGCACGCCGACTGGAACTGCCGACTGGATGCCGGGGATGGGTGTGTGTTCTTTCAGCCGGAGGGCTCACGGCCACCCGAAAGCAAAAAACTCCTGGGCTCTGTGAAGAAATTTCTGGTGCCTGTGCAGAGATTTCAAGATTCAGGAGGGCTTCCAACTTGGAGAGGGCGGGTGTTGCTTGCAGCTTGAAGTTCAATCCCGACGATATGAAGGGATGGTTTTTGTTCCCTTTTGGACGGTTTGACTCAAGGAGCATGCCGACCATGTCGTTTGTTGGTGTTGCCGGTTGTTTTTCTCAAAGGCGCAGCCATGTGGGTGCTGCCCAAGATTGATTGATTGCCCCCTCGCAATTTCAGAGCAGGGTTCGGCGCTGGCGGAAGCTTGATGGGTAAAGCTGCAGCCCAGTCTGTGCGCGTTCTGGGAAGGAGCTAGCCGTCAATTTGCTTTGCTTGCTCAGCCTTGAACATAGAGATACGAGCAACAACCCAACAGCGCCCCGCAAATGGTGTGTTGAGGGCAGCGCGGTCGTGAGCCCAGCGCAACTGGACGGAACTAGGCGTTGGCTTGAACAGGAGGTGTTGCGCCTGCACTTTCACAGATGTCCAGGGAGGGCCAAGTCATCTTTTGACAGTTTGGAAAAAGGCCAACGGCCCGCTTCCGAAAAAGAAGAAACATCAGCTTATATATATAAATAAATAAATAAATAAATATATATATATATATATATATATATATATATTGAAGAAACAATCCACGCATCGATGCTTTGCTTGACTCGTGGCTCGATTCCGTCGCATTCCGTGCTCTTGCGCTTTCGCTCCGCTGGCGCTGTAGGGATTCTACGCCGCTTCCGAGGCTCAGAGATTTTGCAGACTGGGAGCTCTTGTTAGATAGACTGCTGATGGGGATGGATATGGAAATCAGAATTTGAAGGATGGACATTGACCCCAATTGCATTTGGACGGGCCTGCAGGAGGGTTTCCTTCCAGTTGAAGTGTCTTCCAGAGGTTTGCATCCGCCCGCATCAGGAGAAACCAGACATGGCCAGTCAAGTGAGCATGTCAGATGCTTCAAACACCGCCAGAGCCTAAGGGCTTGAGCTAGACGACTTGGACCCATGGGTGAGAGAGAAGCCCTTTCAGAGGTTCTTCACGTCTGATCGTGCGTTGAAAGATGGGATTTGCCTTTGGTGTCCAACAAGATCATGAGGTGCGCAAACAAAGGTTTGGACACTCCAATGGGGCCGAAAGTTCGTCCTCAGACTTGGCCAAGGTTCAGTCGATCAAGTTGCCAAACTTGAATAGGAAGACAGCTCCAGGTAACGAGTCGCTTAGGAGTCACCTTGCCTCGTGCGTTGCTGACACTACAGTACTGCATGTCTGGGTCGGAATCGGACAGTTGAAGCTGGCCCTGGTTTCCTTTTCCTTTTCCCCATCGAGTGCATTTCAAGCTGAGGTGGCAGTGCATTTTCAATCCGGGGAGTGTCCGAGGCTGGGGCGCCTCAAAGCTAAGAGGCTCCCTCAAAGGGCGCAAGCGGGGCTCCCTCAAAGGCGGAAGAGGCGGCCTCTTGTCACGGACTCCTTCCCCTTCCAACTTCCGCCTTTTTTGAGAAGGCAGTTTTTTGTGATCGGCGATGTCCTGTTGGACAAAAATGGCAGAGCCGGTGTTATCTGTCATAGGCTGATCTCGGGCGCCAGGAACTTGGAAGAGGCCACCATCCTCTTCTCAAAGCGCGGAGACTTGATGGCCCACCGATCCGCGTGGGTTGATCTCAAATTTCCCAGAACAACCAGGCTGACCGAATCTATCCATGAGCTTTCATGCGGCACCGTCAGGGTTCGGATAGTGTCCGCGGTTGTTTGGGGTTGCCCTGCACCACCCCCCCACCCCCCTGTGTTTGCTTTTAACACTGTTGACCTTCATACAATCTACCCCTTGGCTCAAGGCCCTTCTTTACTATTTGCACAATCAGAGGCATATGCTTACAGTGAAAAGACCTTGCGGCAGTGCATTACAGGAACAGAGATCTCCATACAATAGCCAGGAACATCCATAGTCGCACCAATCCATTTGAGATACATTGGGTCTGTCCTGAAATAGATTCACGGGCCATTTGAGTTTCCTACCAAGGCAGGATTGAGATCCCCCGCTACCGCATTGAATTGTGGTAGCGGAGCGGGTTTTTTCAGACAAGATCCATCCAAGATGTCATCAGATGGAGAAGGCTTCATGGAGGCCTAGTCCAGGCCGATCCATCGGTGAACTGAGGAGGTATCGATGCGCCGCCAAACAGCCGCCGTCGTATGATGGAACAGCTGCTTCAGATATCAGGAACAGTTGCTCAGCAACAGCAAGCGGCTGCCAGAGAGCCGGCACATTGCAGCTATTGGCCCGGATGATCCGGAGGTTCTGCGACAGTACGTGACAGGCATGCAGACAAGACACCGAGATGCGTTCCCACTCAATGACGCTCTCGTTGCACAAGTCTCTATCATCCAGAGCGAATTGTCAGATCAGTGATCAGCAGAGAGAAAGACTGATCAGCGCAATGTCCCTGCGGAACATCCAGCTTGAGAGTTACGCACACACACACACACGAGATGCTGAAAACACAGTGTCGCGATCTCTTCATCGCAGCAAGCGCGTACATTCAAGACCCATCAATCAGAGCGACCGCAAAAACACCTTAGTGCGAATGGCTTGAAGATGATGATGGACATGAGTGATTTGTAGCAGCAGATCCTGAGGAGACATTCTGGGCCCTCGAGGGAAACGACGCAGAGCGGATTTCCTTTTTTGTTTGTTTTTTTAATTATTTTCCCGAAAAAGGAAAGGAAAAGGAGACTCAAGAAACAAGAAGGGTGGTTGCCGACGAGGACGAGGTGGCTCCAAACCTTTCAGAAAGAGCGCCGCCGACGGTTGTGTTTGAGTGTTGCTCTTTTGCTTCATTTGTTTTGGCTCATGACTAGGCCAGGTGCTCTTGCCCACCGGCGTTGATACCATTCAGAAGTCTTGTTTCTCCGTTGCTTCGTCGGATTTTCTGCCCCGAAGCATGAGAGACATTCGCACGGCGCCGCAGCGAGAGCACTTCGACATGCAGGATTCTTGCAGCGGCTTCACTTTCGGCTCGCAACGCCTGGGACGCTGTGCCTGCCACGCAACTTCACAGACCATGTGCCTGTTGATGCCACGCAGCCCGTAGCATCAGCGCATGACATATTGCGCTCGCCACGAAAACCGCACGCCAATCTCACAGAATGCTGTGCTGGCCACGGAATCCAGCCGTCGACGCACAATCCGAAGGTCGGCGCGGCGCGTCACAGCGAGAATGCAGTTTTGAAGACAGGTCCGTTTCATGCGAAGCTGTCGAGCACAATCTTTTTCTGCGACAACTGCCGCATTCAGAGCTTCGGTTATTTGAAGCCCGACAAGAAAACACCACCGCGTAGCGGCCTTGCCATCAAACACGGACTTTGCTATCAACAAAAGCGCGTTTGCAAAACACACCCCGCGTCGTAGTGCGAGCCTTCGCGGGCCAGGCCCCTGCCATCAAGTATGCATTTTTCATCAAAAAGCCGCGCTTCCTAGCCGGCGCCCATGAATGTTGGCCCTCGAGCCCTCGATCTAACCCAGCCTTTTCTCTTACCGCAAGAGCCCCTCAGTTTAAACACTATTTGGAGAACAAAAAGAAAATAGGTGGTTAACTAGTATAAGGGTAACTGGGATCCACTAGGCAATGTGAACCAATGGGCCTTCCCTGTCGGCGCCCAGGTTCGGAGACATTGCTCGACTGGATACCACCTTGGGTCGGGTACTCAGGTCTGATGCTTGTTCTCCTGGTTAAGTTTTCCGCTGCTGGGGGTGAGATTCCGGGTGCTTTCAGCGGCAGAAGACACCTGAGATAATGTTTTCCAGTCGGATTCTTGAGTGAGTTCAGTAGATCCCTCCTTCGGAAAGTGATGTACCCCCTCAACTCGAGCCATGCTCCAAACGGTAAGGATCGTTTGCTCGAGGAGCGACGGCGAACATTCGAGCATGGCCCGAGGGATATCGTTGGATACAGTGACCGCCAGCTCCAGGTGATTCAAAAGCAAGCCTGGTCTTGGGATTCAGAGATTCCGAGATTCTTCGCTTTCGTTTCTGAGGTACGCTGACTGGTTTGATCTTCGCGACCTTCTTTGATGTGCGTGCGGCGCAGAAGGCGCGGTTCGGGGGGGGGGATGCGATGTTCTTGTTCGTGGAACATGATGGGCCTTCTCGCAAGAAAGCCGGGGAATCCCTCATGGTTGTTTTCCTGTGCTCAGGACTTGGACTCACCATGCAAATCAAGCAATGTTTCGAATTACCAAGTAGCCTTCTCAGACGCTTTGACAAGTACCCAGGACGAATCAACTGCCCTTGGTGATGGTCAGCCCGGCCATTTCAGCACTTTTGCCTTGGAGGGAATAAAGGCGGTGCCACGGTGCCACTGTGTTTGGGAGGCCCCTGTGGAAGACGCAGAACATCACAACCAACATGGGTCAAAATTTAACCACCAGGGGACCACAGGTTTTAGTCTATGTTTCCATTTCCCAGAGTTCCATTTTGGGTACCTAGCCATTTGTCCCACCTAAATTGCGCAGCGCTTTGAAGTGGATCAATTCAAGTCGATGATGGTACAGGTCCCTTGGCTGGAGGTGCAAGCCCGCCACGGATGTTCGATTCTTTTTTTAGATTTCACGAGGGGCTCCGAGGTAAAGGCAGCTCTAAAAAAAGGCAGTTTCGTCCGAATCCGGGGGAACATGTTCGTGACGCATCTCGTCAGGTATCCCTGAACTGGTGGTTTGGATTGGATTCGGATTTGAAGCCCCTGGTTCTTGTGGGTAAATGAGGTCCCCCCCCCTCCCCCTTAACCACCGAAGCACCAAAATCCAACTCCACGCTGTCCGCAAAAAAAACGGCCGTCGAGGTGTTGCAGCACTATGGGATGTGCGCGGAGTCCTTCCAAGCTGCAGCCTACGACTTCCGCGCAACTCGGCGGCCGAGCGAGCTGCGTGCGTGCGGAAGCGAGCTGCCGCGGGTGAGATTTGTGAGAGTTGTGGGATGCGTCAGAGTTGAGGTGGTTTAGTGGGGCGGCGGAAAAGCGTCAGAGTTGAGGTGGTTTTGAGTGAGGCGGAAAAGAACAAAAGCCCAAAGACAATAACAACGGCCACCTGCCGGAAAATCAGGAGCCGATGGGTCGATGCGATGGGTCGAGCGTCTGAGGCTCTGAGCATCAGTACCTCTGCCTTCGCTGAGCTGCCCGCCCGCTGGCCCAGGGGTTCGGTCAGGGGGTTCGGTATAACTTCAGCTGCTTGCCAGTGCTCCGACCTGAAAGCTCCGCTTCCTTTCTTCCAATCGCGGCTCGTTTGGACCATCGAAGGGGTCTCGAAACGTGTGGTTGGGAGCGGCTTTTCCACGGGACTCTGTGGGATGTTTTTGACCCGAGGCCCAATTTGCAGGCTTCCACAGCTTCGGGGAGATCGCAGGGGTGTCTGTGGACGGGGAGGCTGGTTCTGCGGGTCGGGTCTGTGGGAGGCCCAGCCTCAAGCAAAGGATCCATTTTCTTTTCGACCCAAAGAAGCCTTGTAAAGGGAACGGGCCCTCCCGTTTCTTTGACCACTCATGCAAAGGTCGCAGCGGGCGCAGAGCAAAGGAAGCAACTCTGAGACTCTCCGGCCTCCAATGTTTGCTTCAGCCAGTCACTTCAGGGCAAGGTGATCACCCTCCGGAAGGCTTCGCAGCAGACAGTAGAGCAAGTGATTGTCGTTGGAACGAAGCAAGCCTCCGGTATCGTGTTGGCTTTCTTTCTTTTTAGAACGCGCCTGGATTCCGGACACACGAGATATCTACTGACCGCGGAGAAGGGTTGTCCGTTCAGAAGCCTTCGCCGAATTGAGGACCAAGGAGGTGGAATTGGTCGAAGGGCCCCATATTTGCTCATGGAGTACCGAGGCAGAAAGGTCGGCCCGGACCCTGCAAGATGGGTAGCTTCGCTGACATTCGAGCTGAGTGTATCTGGGTGGAAAGTTGGTGTCATCAGCGGGCTTGATGAAATGCCCTTTTTGATCCCCTTGTGCTCTTTGGCTGACCGTCTGACCGTCTCCCTTCCGCCGGGCTTTCGCTTTGGAGGACATCGTGGTGGAGTTCTATGACCTGCGAGCGGCGCAGCAGGCGCGGGACATCTGCGGCTTTGGATTCGATGGGAGAGGCAGAGAGACGTGCAAGCGCCCAAGTCTTGGCACGGCATTCCAAAGGCGTCGGTCGCTTTCCAAAGGCTCCCAAGTGCCGGAAACCGACATGGTGAGTCCCCGTGAAGGATCTGTCACAAGAAGCTTGAGGTAAGCATTGCGATGACAAGAAACATGCTCCAGGGGAGAGAGTTGGGGCAGGGTGAGCTTCTGGCAGTTGAGACCTGTTCCTTTCTTTTTCCACGCATCATTTCAGTGTGAAGCAATATTTGGCTTTGTCAAACAACAAGAGACAATTGAATAGAGAACACATGAAGCGAAGTGCGCATTCTGCAGCGGCGGTCTCTCGGCTTCCCGTATCCCCACTTTTCCCACTTGGTGTCAACCCCCTGTTGCCAGCAAACAGAGCCGTTCCCTGGGCTCACAGCTTGCCTCAACGCCGGGCATGCCAAATCTTTAGTTTTTTGGTTTCATGCCAGGTTAAGACGACAGCGCCCTAGTTTCAATACTTTCTCAGAAGAGGCGTGTGAAGTCCTGGTTTGATGGTGCCTCCACCTGAAAATCCCAAACTCTGGCACTTGCCAAGGGGTCGGCACTGCTTCGCTTAGGTTGAGATGGACATCACACGATGGGCAAAGATGTTTCGTTTGTTTTCCGAAACCTGGCCCGGAAAAGTATGGACGTGCACTTTGATGAGGCGCACGCTGGTGGACATTTGGGGATTGATGTCCACCCATGTGGGGGGTCCTCAAAAACAAACATTTCAGAGCCCTTTGGCGTGTTTGTTTTTTGTCCACGATGGGGGTCCTCAAATCAAAAATTCAGATCCCTGTGGCGCGCTTTTTGTTTCTTTCCTAAGCCCAAGACCCTCAGCCGCCCGTTTTTTTTTCTTCGTTTTCTCGCCTTCCCGAAGCGCCAGCGCGCCGGAGGTGGCCTTCTGTGTTCCTGGCAGCCGGCCCAAGAGGAGCGCCTCGCCCGGGGACCCGAACCGAGAGGCGGTTCTGACCGTCGAACGCCGATGCCCGAAGGACCCAGGACCACTCCGCCCATTTTGATGTTCTTCTTCTTTTGTTTCTTCTTCTTCTTTTGTTTTTTTTTTCTCCTTCTGTTTCTTTTTGTTTGTTCTATGCACATATGTATTGGTTTCTGTTTCTTTTTGTTTGTTCTATTCACATATGTATTGGTTTCTGTTTCTTTTTGTTTGTTCTATTCACATATGTATTGGTTTCTGTTTCTTTTTGTTTGTTCTATTCACATATGTATTGGTTTCTGTTTCTTTGTTTGTTCTATTCACAGATGTATTGTTTCTGTTTCTTTTTGTTTGTTCTATTCACATATGTATTGGTTTCTGTTTCTTTTTGTTTGTTCTATTCAACATATGTATTGGTTTCTGTTTCTTTTTGTTTGTTCTATTCACATATGTATTGGTTTCTGTTTCTTTTTGTTTGTTCTATTCACATATGTTTTGGTTTCTGTTTCTTTTTGTTTGTTCTATTCACAGATGTATTGGTTTCTGTTTCTTTTTGTTTGTTCTATTCACAGATGGATTGGTTTCTGTTTCTTTTTGTTTGTTCTATTCACAGATGTATTGGTTTCTGTTTCTTTTTGTTTGTTCTATTCACAGATGTATTGGTTTCTGTTTCTTTTTGTTTGTTCTATTCACAGATGTTTTGGTTTCTGTTTCTTTTTGTTTGTTCTATTCACATATGTTTTGGTTTCTGTTTCTTTTTGTTTGTTCTATTCACAGATGTATTGGTTTCTGTTTCTTTTTGTTTGTTCTATTCACAGATGTATTGGTTTCTGTTTCTTTTTGTTTGTTCTATTCACAGATGTATTGGTTTCTGTTTCTTTTTGTTTGTTCTATTCACATATGTATTGGTTTCTGTTTCTTTTTGTTTGTTCTATTCACATATGTTTTGGTTTCTGTTTCTTTTTGTTTGTTCTATTCACAGATGTTTTGGTTTCTGTTTCTTTTTGTTTGTTCTATTCACAGATGTTTTGGTTTCTGTTTCTTTTTGTTTGTTCTATTCACAGATGTTTTGGTTTCTGTTTCTTTTTGTTTGTTCTATTCACATATGTATTGGTTTCTGTTTCTTTTTGTTTGTTCTATTCACATATGTTTTGGTTTCTGTTTCTTTTTGTTTGTTCTATTCACAGATGTATTGGTTTCTGTTTCTTTTTGTTTGTTCTATTCACAGATGGATTGGTTTCTGTTTCTTTTTGTTTGTTCTATTCACAGATGTATTGGTTTCTGTTTCTTTTTGTTTGTTCTATTCACAGATGTATTGGTTTCTGTTTCTTTTTGTTTGTTCTATTCACAGATGTTTTGGTTTCTGTTTCTTTTTGTTTGTTCTATTCACATATGTT